GCCTTTGGAATTCTGACACAGGGTGGTGGATGCAATCACAAAATGGCTGCCACAGCCAACCACAAAATATCAGGGAGGGAGATTATGCATAACTCTAATAGAAACTCTTCAACATTTCAGGAAGAAGTCCTTTTAAAAATTAACATAATGTTTCAAAATATTTTCTTCTGTGCACATCACACAGCTTAACCTTCAGTCACTCAGTGAAGACCCATGTGCTGTGGTGGTGGCAGCAGCTGATGCCGAAGCAATGTTTTGTTGAATAGGCAAAGCCAATCAGATCTCCAAAGGGCAACCAGAAGCCCAGCTGGGCAGAAAGCCCCGCCTGACCCCCACCAACTGTATAAACCCTTGGCAGGCACCGGGAAAGGTGTCAGTGGCTGGGTGCTACCTGGGAACTCCTGCCCTAAGAGGATCTGTCTTCTCATGACTTCTAAAACTACTATGAGGAACTTTTATTAAATAGCTTTTCAGAAGTCCAGGTATATAATGGCCCCGGTCACACGAGTGGGAAAAGTCGCAGGGGAAGTGCGGCTTTTTAGAGCCGCAACAAACAGAAGCGCGACAGCGGGATCAAACAGGTCCCCCGAGGCTCTGCGCTTCTGCCGGCAGCTACGATCACATGCTGCAGGGGAAGCGACGCTAAGAAGGGCAAGGAGGGCCAGCCGCAGCAGTTGTACACATGTGCAGTTTGCCATTGCCACGCATACCACGGTATAACCACACGACGGCAATCCCACGGCCACCGGTGCTGTGCGTCATCCGGTAGGTACTGCCCTTTCACTAGATCCGCATCTTCGGCCAGAAGCTATGGGTTAGGGGCGGGTGCGCGACGCTTGCCAGATGTTGGCATCTGATCACGCAGGTTTAATCCGCCCTCAATCCGTCCGTTTCACAGGGCAAATCCTCCCGTGTGACCGGGGCCCTAGTCATCCTTATCCGTATACTTACCCTGATCATTTTTATCCCTCCCTTTTGAGGGGCCATGGCTCAGCGAAAGAGCATCGGCTTTGCATGCAGACGATCCCAGTTCGAATCCCCAGCATCCCAGTTAAAAGGACCAGGTGGTAGGTAGTGTGAAAGGACCTCCACCCAAAACCTTGGTGAGTCACTGCCAGTCTGAGTAGACTACACTGACCTTAATGGACCAAGGATCTGATTTCATAGAAGGCAGTGTCATATGTTCATATCCTTGAACTCTGTAAAAGTGGAGGGGCAGGACTTCCCTTTGCAGAAACCATGCTGATTCTTATTCAGTGGGGCCTGTCCCATAAGGCTGCAATCATAAGCACAATTAGACCCGACATAGGTGTGAATGCCGGGCGGATTTAAAGGGCACGATCAGACAATGATATCTGGGAAGCGCCCCGTGTTACGGTAGAGCCAGGGAGGCAAGCAGACAGGGGGAGTCACAATACAAGTCCAAAGGTCAGCTGGGAGAGCAGTCAGCAGAGCATTAAACAAGTCCCAAAACACCAGACAAAGCCGTAGTCAAACGTTACCAGAGGTCAGAGTACAGGGAGCAAAGCCGAGGGTGTGGTCAGGTTCAAAGCTGGAAGTCAGGAGCCAGAGCAGTCCAAACACAAGCCGAGTCCAAAAGCCACGGAGTCAAACAGGAATCAAGGTGCAGAGCTTCTGGTTCTCCGAATTGCTCATGGCCAGAGGCCCTACTAAATAGTGCTGTGGCCCATTAACTCATTAGCACCTTTGTGCGAGGTCCTGGCTGCTGTTAAAACTCAGGGCTCAAGGATCTCCGCCCTCTTGAACGTGCTTCTTTTTGTCGGCTAGCCAGCTCCTGACGTCTCTGATCCCTAAGCCTACTTACAGGTGGGGGAGATGCAGGTGGTGAGCTGCTTGTGGCCTGCTCAATCCCAGGTGCAAACCGTCCTGTAGTTGACTCAGATTGCTGTGTATCCTCCTCAGTACTTACAGTAGGTGCCGATCCTGATGCTTCTTCAGCTCTTAAAGGCACTGAATCCTCCCCTCTTAGGCTGTCAGGAGCTGGCTCTGGGGCTGAGTCAAGGGCAGGCATGACACCCCGCAACCAGCGGATTTAAAGGGCGCAATCAGACAACGATATCTGGGAAGCGCCCCACAGCCGTGGGCAACCCGTTCTGCTCTGTTGCAGAAGTGGAGTTAAGACACCGGGGAAACTCCGGCAGTAAACAGGTTGCGACAGGCTACGGACAGACTTTCCTGTGTCTGATTGCTCCAGCACACTCTCATGGCATTAGGATGGTCTGATCAGGCCATCCCGATTCCGTGCCTTTGTCCCCCCCCCTTGCAGTATGCGCATCATCGCATACTCCATAGGGAGCCCTCGGTGCAGAGGTGCAATTCATCAATCCCTTGGTTAAGCGCATGGGGGGAAAACGGCACAAAAAACCCGACTCGCAGTTTTGTCTGATCACACACCGATGGACTGCACCCGCAGCTTCAAAGGGAGGTGTGTGATCATGCAACTGTTGAGTCAAATTCCTCCAGAGGAAATGGCCTCGCTCCCCCCCCCTCCCCGGTTTTTCTGGTGCGTGTGACCGCAACCTAAGTCACCTTTCTCACTGAAAAACATTACCTGGATCCCTTTGTATAAATAAATCAGTATTGTATTTGCCATTTTCCAGTCCTTGGTAAGGATTAAGGAAGAACCAAAAGCATACTTTTATTTACAAATCAGCCATTTCATGTTTGAATTCTTTAAGAAACCTCAACGACTTGCTAACTCAATCCAGTTACTTTTTAGTTTTCAATTATGTCAGTTAGCCTTAAACTTCATTCCCAGGATTTTATTTCACACACTGCTTCAACACCGTCCCTGAAAATAGCAGTTCCAGTGTGGATATCTAATCAACAACTTCCACAGTGAAGTATTAATTCACTATTTCTGCAATATCCCTAACCTTTAGCATTTCTTATAGTCCAACAACCTCCCTTAGCTGATATTTTTAAAGTAATTTTGTCCCTATGTGTTTAGCAATATATTCTTTACATTCTCTTCTCGCATTGTTCCAAAGCAAAATCCAAAACCAAAATCCATGCAATACCATTTATAAATGTCACAAAACCTAAACGATTCAAAACAGTGTGCAAACTTTTGAGTTCTCCAGAAGTGTTCATCAGGCTGCATATTAAAACAAAAAATTACAAATAAAGTATGGATGGAGATGTTTCAGGCTATGATCTTACAGACTCATAGAGTTGGAAGGGGCCATACAGGACATCTAGTCCGACCCGCTGCTCAATGCAGGATCAGCTTAAAGCATTCCTTAAAAAGTTTGTCCCGCTGCTGCTTGAAGACTGCCAGTGCGGGGGAGCTCTCCACCATCTCAGGCCCAATCTGCATCTAGCATTTGCTCAGTTGTTTTACCAAACCCACACTGGAACAGAAAAAGATGCAGTTCAAAACCACATTCAACTATCCCGGGCCAACACCATACTGACTGCAGAGTCACCCCTGAATGGCCATAAAACGACCATAAATCTATGCAGACAGCCACAATAAAACCAGAGATCAAACAAAGTGAAAGCAGCATGCAGTCTGGGCACTGCCATAAAATGCGACACTCAGTCAAAGTGAAAGTGCCATGCAATGTAGACCGGAATTTCTGTTCCAGTGTGGGTATGATATATAAAGGTAAAGGTTCCCTTGCTGGAAAGCCAGTCGAATCCAACTCTAGGGTTGCGGTGCTCATCTCCGTTTCAAAGCCGAAGAGCCAGTGCTGTCCGAAGACGTTTCCATGATCATGGGGCCAGTATGACTAAGCACCAAAGCGCACGGAACGCTGTTACCTTCCCACTGAAGTGGTACCTATTTATCTACTTGCAATTTCTTGCTTTCGAACTGCTAGGTTGGCAGGAGCTGGAACTAGAGACGGGAGCTCACTCCGTCATGCGGCACACTCGGGTCTCGAACTGCTGAACTACTGACCTTCCACAGCCTGCAGTTCAGCGTCTTAACCACTTGAGACACCGCAGCTGTTATGGTATAACAGCAGAGCAAATGCTAGATGCAGACTGGGCCTTAGGCAACTGATTCCACTGCAGAACTACTCTTACTGTAAAACAAACAAACCCAGCTCCCTGCCCTCCTCTAAGTGGTAGCCTTTCAAATACTTAAAGAGAGTACCTCAGGATCACCATCGCTGGGGGGGGGGACTAGTATATTCCCCAGTACTTAGCAATGTTCCCTCTAAGCTGTGTAGTCTTGTGAGCAAAAATTCTACTTTGTGAGCGACTGGCATTAAAGTTGTGAGCAAGCGATTTGGCTTCTGCATAAATTAGTTTGTTCTGGACCCCTCCTTCCTGAGCTAAGACAAAAATGTGTGAGCTGGAAGCTAAAAAAACTGTGAGCTAGCTCACACTAACTCAGCTTAGAGGGAACAGTGCTTACCAGTAGTAGAAGCAGTAGTAATGGCTTGATGTATTCACCCATAACAAAATATCTGTGGCAATTATTTCACCTAAGCACTCTGACATGCAGAGAGATACCTCTTCAGTTTCATATCTTTATTTATTGTTTCCACATAAGAGTTTATATCCAGGCATAATATACGGAGAACATCACCTTAGTACACTCTCTCTGACAGAATCTTGAATGGCCTCTATTATTTATAAAAAATTATATTATAAATCCCTAAAATGAAATATATCGCAGGGCTCTTTTTGTAGCAGGAACTCCTTTGCATATTAGGCAATACGCCCCTAATGTAGCCAATCCTCCAAGAGCTTACAGAGCTCTTCTTACAGGGGCTACTGTAAGCTCTTGGAGGATTGGCTACACTGGGGGCGTGTCGCCTAATATGCAGAGGAGTTCCTGCTTTAAAATGAGCTATATATATATAAGTAGAGGTTCATAGTTTTTGGTAATTCAGTGTTCTTAAACAACTGAGATGCATGAAAACAAAACCAGTTAGAAACAATCAAGTTAATTCAGAGCTACCCCTGTTTGATGAAGTGTTGTTCCACTGACCAATAGGCAGATGGACATTTCGGAACAGATGGAGGAAGGATAGGACAGAAACTTTCCTGATCAAGCAAGCTGTCATAGAAGAGTGGATTGATGACTGGGGCTGGGAATTGAAAAACCGCCATATTTAACATTCAGGATCCAAGTGAAATGGATGCCAGTTCAAATACGGTTGTTGTTACTGGTAAGATTTTTTTTTTAATGCTTCATCTTTCAGGCCGACACGGAGTGCCACAAATCAAACTGCTCTTTATCATGGAAAGGGGGGGTGGGATGCTGTGGGAAGGAGAGAATACTAGCATATTCAAAAGGAAAATCTCATTGCTGCAACTTGCTAAGAAAATCAGAAGGCATGGGGCGGCTGCGGCGGCGGGGGGCGGGGGGAGATGTTTGCCTCTATCCAAGTAGGTTTCTTGTTTACTATTCCTGTCACCTCTGAAAATATATGTTGACATCCTCTCCTGTCCAAGCCGTGCAGCCCTAAGGTGAAACTAGTTAAGGGCTACCTAAAAGAAACCACACAGAGCACAGCTGCTTCCCGGTTGCACATAATCAGAGACTAAAATCAGAGCAATGTCAAAATGACAGTTTTGAAACACCGGCTTTCAGCTTTTCGTTTCAAAACACAGCAACAGGTGATTTTTATTTTTATTTTTTGGTTTTAAAAAGTGAATTCGGAATAAATAAGATTTAGTGTGTCGAAGGAGCATGCCTCGGCACAAGCTCCTCAGAGCCAGATTTGGACATTTTCTCGCTGGTTATAGTTAATGCTGAATCACCACTTCAGACGCAGCTGATTACAGGGAAGGGATTGAGCTTTAAAAGGTTAAAACTCTCCTGGAATGCTCTCTGTTGTGCCCCTGTCTGTTCTAAAGGCAATCATTACGCACAGGCTTGACATGTGAGTTGTTGGATAATTTTCCACTACAGGCTATCTAAGGACACGGCCCTGAGCCTGAAGGGACATCAAAGAGAACCTGCTTGTTGCTGTTTTCAATTAAACACATCTTAAGATTATTTTAGGGCTTGTTAAAATAGCTGCAAGGCAGGCGGAACCAGTTCAGATGTCTCCAACCATAACGTTGACTAACCAGGATGGGGAAGTGGCAGAGAAGGCTCTTATAACCTTATATAAGACCAAGAAGTCATGTTGACGTCCTCATGATCCAAAAGCAGACTGAATAGCCTAGGTTTAACCTGAGTTTATCAGAGCAATGCTGTAGTGTATTCAAAGCTGCCTGGAATGCATGATGTGTTGTGAAACATCTAACTGAAGTGCAATGTAAAGCTTCGTCCTGGGCTAGGATCCAAATCCATCCTGTGACTAGCCCAGGAAGCACCTAACCAATCACTTTGAAGGAAGCTCCCTGAGCGGGAACATCCGTGATTGGTCCTTATGTGAACAACCTTATTGGTTGGTATTTGTAAAGTGGGTGTGGCTACATTAGCCGGGAACGTTTAAAAGCAGGACAGCTGCACTGTAAAGGCTGTCCTGGCTATCAGATGTTGATCCGTGTTGGAGTTGTGTTCGAGTGGAAGAATAAAGCTGTGTTCTTGCTGAATCACTCTCCGACTGCTTTGTTAAGCGAGCGACTTAACAAATGCAGGGTCCACCATGGTTAGTGTTGGTATGGGAGAGCAACAAAGAACACCGGGGTTGCTACGCACAGGAAGACAACAGCAAAACACCTCTGCTTGTCTCTTGCCTAGAACACCCTGTGGATGGGGTCACCAGGAATCAGTTGTGGCTCAACAGCACATTGTTGTTCTTCATGCTCCAAAAATAAGTTAATCTTTTTAAAGAGGTGCCGGAACTCTCGAGAGGGAAATGAAGTTTTCAACCTCTATCCTGAAAACTCACAAACTTTTAAACATTTTCAAAAGAATTTTGTTGAAGAGGTTCCGGAACTCCATTCCGGCGTATTCCCCTAGAAAAAAAGCCCTGATCCACCCTATCTGCTTCACCCCCATAACTTTTAAAGAGTTTCCCACTGGCAGGGTGTAGTGGTTCAAGCGTTTACTAGGATCTTAGGAGACTCAGTTTCAAATCAATGCTTCTACCGTGGAGGCTTGCTGGGTGACTTTGGGCCTGTCACATTCTCTCAGATTCACCTACTTCAGAGGCTTGCTGTTTTGAGAAAATGGAAGAAGGAAGATACAGCATGTGGGTCCGTTGTGCAGAGAAACAGATATGCTCCACAGATTTATTTAATTCATTCGTACCCTACCTTTCTCCTCAATGGGGACACAAAGACGTTTACATCATTCTCTCTCCTCCATTTTATCCTCACAACAACCCTGCGAGGTAGGTGAGGTGAAGTGTGTGTGACTGGCCCAAGGCCAGCTTCTGTGGCATGGTGGGATTCTTACCTGGCCCTCGCAGATACTAGTTTTACACTCTTAACCCCTACCCCACTGGCTTTCTAAATCCAGTCCCTTTGGAAGTTTTAAAGTAGCCCTGGATATAGTGGTCAATACAGTGGGGAGCTGAAACTGAAACTGAACCTAAGACACGCAATTCTTGTCTAGCTTTTCCCCACTATTGCAAATCTTGTAAAATCTGTTTTTTATAAGTCAGAAATAGTCTATAGCCTTGATATGTGGATTCTGATAAACAGTTTCCATTCCAGACCATCCTTAGATTATTCTAACATTACAGATCGTCAGCTGCCACCTTGCAATGGTTCCTGTTGGGGGGGGGGAGCTTTTATTTCTTTCTGTCAAACTGATATCTAATCAAGACGTTGATTCCTATATTGATTCTGATATTAGCTTTGCACTTGTTCTCAAGCACGATATGCAGAAGACGCGCAGGTGCATTTTAGATGTAGTGCAGCGAGTCATCAGTGAATGCCTCAATAACATTTTCACCTGCTTGTAACAAATCTGCTGGCACCGATCCTGGTTTTATTACACAGTGCCTAATAATACTCCGCCAACTTGATCTGTGTTGGTTTGGGTACCCAGAAACACGGAGACCTTCTCATGATGAAGTCACTTCTTTTCATAGAACAGATTAACCCTCAGCAGGGGTTTCTTGTGACCGTCGTTGCCGCTGTGCACATTTCACTCAGATAGCTCAGGGCTTGATGTTTACTCTGTACAGAACTTTTTACTCCCCAACAGGGGTCGTTTCATAGAAAAAGAGCTAGGGGAACTCATTAGCATAACTCATTAGCATATGCCACACACCCTGACATCACCGGAAGTGTGTCATAAGGTCACACTCCCTGACATCACCGGAAGTGTGTCATAAGGCCACACACCCCGCCCCCAACGGTCCCGGCTGCTGCCGGCCTTGCTGCTCCACTGCCGAGCCCCATGAGGGGCCCGGTGGTGGACCTGCAAGCCCGGCGGGAGTGCAAGGAAGCCCCGCGAAGGCCCTCCCTGGCCCCAGGCAGGCAGGGGTGGGGAGATGCAGGGAGGAAGCAACTTACCCTCCCTCTTCTCCTGCCTCCTCCTGGCTGAATGAGGGCCGGAAGCGGGGCGGCCGGAAGCAGGGGGCGGGGCTTTGTCATGTGCCCCGCC